AACCCAGCCACAAAGTCTTCAATGTACTATTTGTACTGCCTACAAGGTGTGCTGGGGGAAAGATAGTGCAGAAATTGTGGGAGTGACCAACTACTGACTAGCACTGGTGTAGACCCATAGCCTGAGAGGGAGATCACCCCTGAGGGTCAGGACCCAGAGGTGGGATACCCCAGAGACCTAGGACAGACCCACACAGGACTGGAAGAAAAAAGTCAATGAAAATGATTCCTAACAATATCCTGTTATGCTCATAGATTGATGCCTAGCCCAACTGTCATCAGAGCAGCTTTCACCTAGCAACTAATGGAAATAGTTTGTTAAATTTTGATATCTATCTTCAGTCTTGTATCTGTTTCAAGCTCTATTAAAATGATCAGTCAATACCTTGTGAGATCATCCAGGGCATATCTAGAATACCAAAAATATAAATGTGAGGGACACTTGGTGTTTAAACACAGTTCAGCCAGAACAGAGGCTGTTTTGGAAGCTCAGCATCCCCCCAGAACTCTGAAGACAACTCCTACCCTCTCTTCTAGGACTTGGATGAGCTGCCTTCTCTGCTTCCTTCACGTTTTTCAGTGTCTGCTAATCCACTGCCTTCTCGGACAAAACAATATTGGATCACCTCATAAATGGCTTTGAAATAACCTCCCAGTCCTGCCAGCTTGCACTTTAGGAAACTAAAACTCACTATGAGTCTTCTGATCACAAATCCAAGGTCTGTTTTCATTAAAAGATCTCCTGCTTGTTAGCAACAAACCGGTAACCTTCTAGACACTGGCCTTACGTCTATCTATAATCTTTGATCTCACAGAAGCCCTGTAAAACACGTGTTTTGTTCCCTGTTTTGCAGATAAAGGGTAGAAAATGAACTCCCAGCCCCAGGACAGAACTTACCGAGTGGAAGTATAGCAGGACTGTCTACTACTCCTTTCATCTCCTGATGGCTCACTTCTTGAAGTTCTCTCCTTTCCCCTCATTCTACCACACTCCCTTGCTTTCCACTGTCTCATCAAATTTTCAGATCTCCCTATTTCCCTACCAGCTCCCGGTACCTTTCCTGGCAAGCCCCTCAACTTTCAGTGTTTACATTTATGCGACACGCTACATCTGTCATCCATGCGTCCATCCACTAATCTACCTACATATTACCTAAGCTAGGCCCTCTCTTCACAAGCCGTTGTGAAATGACTCCCTGAGTACAATCTCTAATGAACATTCTACCTCACTTCCGACACTGAATGTCACAAGCTGAACCTGACACCTTGGCTTCTCAAATCTCTGTCTCTTTCCCCAAATTTCTGTATTTCACAAGCACCATCACCTGCTCTCATAGACTCTCCCTTTTCATTACCTTGATTCTCTCTCTTCTTCACTCAAGTAACAGTTATCTATTAGGTCCCTTTATCAAGGTCACCCCAACACATCACAGTTGCTCCCATCTCGGATTTCTGAGATCATCCTTCCAGACTGCTGTGAAAGCTGACCTCTGCCATGTCACACCTTTTTTAAAAGCAACTCTGCATAGACGGGGACCCATACCCCTCAGGATGGCAAACAAGCATCCAGGAGGATCTTATTTCCGCTAACCTTGATTGTATGTCACCTTCCAGGAATCTTGTAAAGTCTTCTTGAGTTGGGAACTAGCCATTCCCAAATCCCTCCTCAGGCACTCTGACCACAGTCCTACACAGCACTTACAGGGCAGCACTCTTCTAGATGACTAATATTAGTTTCACGTTTTGTCTCCTATGTCCAAAACATGTTCTAGTGTATCAAATCTAGCAGTTGTTCATGTCAAGACACTGTGCTTCCCCATAATTTAAAAAGAAAAAAAAAGTTCCTACAGCTCTAAATCACCCAGCACTAGATTTCCCCCTTAGACGCAGAAACTACCTCAGTTAGAATTGTTTGCATAATCTCAGCGCACAGAGACTGGCAACTGGTTTGCTCTTAATAAATACTTGTTAGAGGAAATAAGATATGTTCATGAAATGCTTCACACTAAGAACATATGACTAACACAGTTTCCAAAACTAATAGATTTTTTTTTTCAAACTGATTTGATTATGTAGCTCCTCCTTAGGCAGATATGCAAAGTAACATTTAAATAATTGAACAAGCATCCAGTATGGTTAGCAGGATTATCAAATTACACTTTTACTTAGCTTCCAGGATAGGGGACTATTAACACTATACCAGGTTAATGAGTTTCACTGGCAGAAAGAGGTATAAAACATACTCCAAAAGAAAAATAACCCAATTCCACATAAAAAAGTAAATATTTTTAAAGAGGCTGTTTTGGCTTAAAAAAAAAAGTCAAATTGTCTAAAGTGAAGACACTTCTAAGGCTCTCTCTTACAAAATTTTCTGCATATAAACATATTAAAACCTCACATATACAAGGAACTCTTCTGAGAATCTCAAGCATTCAGCCCATAGCACAGCAAAAAGCACATGAACAAAAAATTATCTGTCACAGAATCTACATGCTTTGTATTTGGCAATGGACAAAGAAAAAAAAAAAGACAACAGATAATACAGCATCAGGACCCGCTCCCAGCCTGACAGCAGAAAGTGATAGCTGATAACAGAAAGGGGACCCAGACAAAGCATAAAAAGAAGAATGGTACCTCTGTTTCCATTCTAATACTTCAACCCAGCAGGCAGAGAGACCAGGAACTGTAAACAAAAATGGTACTCTACCCTGCCACAAATGGCACTGTTGAATCCTTGATAGGTTCATACTTATAACCCAGACATCACAGAATAATTAAATTAATAGCATAGCCAATAACATCTGAAGGTTTACAAACTGTCTATTTTAATGACTACCTATTTCGGTCAATATGGTGAACTACCCAGAAAATATCTATGAATATCAGCACCAAGCAGTATAATGTGTTGTCAGGATAATGCATATTGTATAAACAGGCAAAAGTAGACATTTTTTGTGTAGCTTGGCAACTTTCAGGTATTATCTGGAAATTAAAAATTAATCAGTCAAGAAATCTGCATTGTTTGAGATACAGATCCATAAATTATTTTGAAACAGAGTTTGAGAATAGAGGGTAAGTTTTACAGCAATATTTAAATGATAACTCAACTCAGGACTGCTTACAGGGGGGAACTTGAAATATCTCAGTTTAGATTAATAGAAACTTTAACTATCAAACAAGTCTTCAAAGTACAGTCCTCACAAAATCTCTTCATGAAGGACATGTATTGGATTTGTTTACTATAACAGGTGTTCTAAGTATCAGTGTAGACACTAAAGTGGAGTTTAGACTCAAAGAGCTCAGATCTCTACGGGAGGTAAAAGCAGAAGTATGGGCAGTAGTATGGCTCAGTAATATGGTTCAGTTGCTCTAAACAAAGCTGAGCTGTTGTTCTAAATGTCGAAGTCGACACTGCTGCCTCCTAGTTTAAAAATGCTCCTTTAGCTGTGGATTAGAGAACACCAGATGTGCGCTTAACCTTACTGGTGGCAGGCAAATCGGCCCTTCTCTATCACTATCGAGAATAGGTAAGAGCTGCTGAACAGACATGGTCCGAGCAAGGCCTCAAGCTACCAAGAGATAGTTTCTTCTGGAAAAGTTAAACAGCAGACTCACATTTAATTTGATTAACACAAAGTTCTGTTCTTCCTTATCATATACTTAAGTGTATATTTTTTTTCAATTAATTAATAAAAAAAGCTAGGACATTGTGTAAATGTGTAACTTGTAATTCTATTAGAATGATTAAGGAAGACTTTCTAGCCTTTTTAAAACACACGGTTGGTTTTTTTTGGGGGGGTGGTCTGGGCACAAGGGTTAAGGAAGCCTACATCCAAGAGGATATTTGTTTGGGGGAACGTGGGATTACAGCTAGAAGTAACGGCATATTTGGCATCCAGCCAAACTGCCACACATTCCTGTCATTAATTTTGGAAGAAAAAAACAATCAGTTGTACAAAACGACAGCCTAAGGTGACCAAAAACCTTAGTGCTTTTCTGTGAACCCTTTCAGAAGGCGATCGTGCAAAACAGAAGCCCCCCACCCCCGCCCCGTGACTAGTCCTGACCCTGTATCACAATGGTCGTGGCTTTCCAGATAAGGTGAGGATGCAGAAAGTCACCCCTTTCTTCTCTTGTGATGATGCCTCCCCCAACTCGGAGTTTCCACAGCCCTTCATTTTCTGAGCTGGGAGCACTTTTCGGTCTCCGTCCCCTCACGTCCTTCAGAACTCTAAAAGATGCTGAGGACGGTCCCAGCACTGGCACAGCAGCGACATCCAGTCCCTAAGTGCTGCCGAGAGACAAGTTCTCAGTCCCCAACTTTATAACCCTTCAAACCTGGGAGCCCACAGATCAGGTCCTGCCCCGAGACACCTCCGGGCGTCCTTTTGCCCGGACGCACTGCATCCGCGAGCGAGCGCTTGGCGATGCGCTCTCCTCCCGCCACCCCGCAGCACCCATCCGGGGCCTCGCCGCTCCGCTCCCGTCCTCCACAGCAGGCGACCCCTCCATGCTCGCCCGCTCGCCCTCCCTCTCACCCTCCCGCGGCTCTCTCACCTTCGGATCCGGCCCTGCACCCCTGCCGGCCTTTCCGGGGTCCACGCGCGACCGTGCGGTGTGTCTGTCCACCGCTGCTGCGGTCACCGAAAGGTCCCGCGCACACGTGTGCGCACAGCCGGTGGAGCGCCCCTTCCCCAGTGCACCCCGTCGCGCACCTTCAGCGGGGACCCGGCGGGCCAGAGAGTCCCGGGCGGTGACTGCGGGCGACCATCCCGTCCCGGTCAAGCGCAAGGTCTTGGCGTCTGCACGGGCGCCCCCTTCGCCCGCTCCGGCCGCCGCGGGGACAGCTCAGGGGTGCCAAGAGCGCGCTCGCCACAGCCCCCCGCGCCGGCCGCCTCGGGCAGCCAGGGGGGCGTCACTCACTCACCTCGGGGGTGGGAACAGCCACCAACTCCGCGATCCCAAGCCCTCCGTCCCCGCGCCCCCGCCGCCGCCGCTTACCGCGCTCCTTTGGCTGTGGCGCGGGAGTTGGAGAGCGCGCCTGTGCCGCCGCGGGACGGTCGCCTTCCGTCTCTGGCCCTGAGGAGGGGAGGCTGCAGCGCGCCCGCCGGCTTAAGACGGCCGCTCTGGGGCCAGGCGATGCTCCACCGTGCCCTCCCTCGGGGCCGCAGCGCGCCTGCTCCTCCGCCGAGCCCCGCGCGCCCCGCCTTCCTCTCCCTCCCCCCCCCCCCCCCCCCACCAGGCCGGCGCGCCCGCTAAGTGAGCCCGGGAGCGCGGTCGGGCCCGTGCGCGCGCCCCCGCCTGCGCGCCCCCGGGCCCGCCACTCAAGCCTCGGGGCCTCGCGCCCGCCGCGACCGGGACCCCGCTGCGCACGCGCCTCGACGGCGGCGGAGACCTGAGAAGCTGGCGGACTTGCACCTGCCGCAAGGGCTCCCCTCGACGCGCGCCTCCGCCCGCCTTCTTTTCACCTCAGGCGCTGGGGAGGAGCAGGGGCCTGCGGGGCGCCGACTGACGCCCCCTTCGCTTCCTGTCAGAGACCCCGAGAGTCGCTCTGAGAGGAGAGCGGTGGGTCTGAGCGCACGCCTGCGCACACGGGGAGAGCGCCCAGCGAAGCGCGGGGCTCCTGGAAAAAGCCAACTGGGGATTCCCTTGAAAGGGCCTTTTAAAGTCTTGCCTGCTTGGGTCCGGCTTCCTTATTCTGACTGAACGTGTTTGCTAGCCGCGTGGCTGCCAAGTTGGCTTCCAGGTCAGGAAGCAACATTTCCCAAGGAGCAGGTGTCTTCTGGTGCGCCAGACGCGGGAGGCCAAGCCCTTTTTAAGTGTCAATGGCAGGCTGCTGGCTTCAGAAAATCTAGGAAAGGTTTGCTTGCTAGAATTTGGAACCTGTTAGGTCATCCCTTCTACAGCACACACATGATGCCATACGTGTGTGTGTGTGTGTGTGTGTGTAGACGCGAATATGTAAATGAACTGGACAGAACTGAATGTGGTCTAACTTTCTGAAAAGTGCAAATCAGGTCGAACATAAATTCCAGATCCGAAAATGCTGACGAGTTTTGTGTTTAAATGTTCAGAGATGAAAAGAGGATGCCACTAATGCTATTTCATTTCTCCAGCTTGAGAGTCAGGTGTGGGACTTTGCCCTCAAAAAAATTGAAATTTTATGTAATGATATAAGAAAAATCAATTATTCATTGTTCTTATTAGTAGTCTATTAAACAACCATAGTGTCCAAAGGTCCTAAGTCCAACGCTTTGTTCTAATGGAGTTTCCAAATACCTATTTCAAAGGAGATAATGCTCTTTTCTTCTTTGTAAGTAACAAATCTTTCTACTTGACCCAAGTAGATTAATATGCTGTGCATTCATTCACTTACTTATTTAAATTGCACTAGAAAAAAATTACAAACAAGTATTAAACATAACAGATACTCAATAGAGAATATAAGCATTTTATTCAAAAGCCTTATTTTATCGAAAAAAAATCATGCTCCAGGCACAAAGCCATTGTCCTAATAAAGTGTACATAAATTCTTGGTAAAAATTGACTTTAGAAATGTAATAAATAATTGTGGTTTTATATCTTTTCTATAATCTGTGTCACATCCGTGTGCTTAATAAAATTATGTAAGAGTTAATACTCTAGCCGGGCGGTGGTGGCGCACGCCTTTAATCTCAGCACTCGGGAGGCAGAGGCAGGCGGACCTCTGTGAATTCGAGACCAACCTGGTCTACAAGAGCTAGTTCCATGACAGGCTCCAAAGCCACAGAGAAACCCTGTCTCAAAAAAAAAAAAAAAGAGTTAACACTCTAAAATGTCTGTCAAACTTTACAGATGTTAAAAAAAATGCCATACTGAATATTACGTGTAGCTATATCCGTGAATTTTGTATCTGTGATCTGGCTGTTGTTTGCCCCATATGCCACAGGCCAGCACTGAAAGGACATTCCAAAATTTAAGTTTAGTATGTGTTTGCATAAATCAGAGTTGAATTATGTTTGTGTACTTTAAAGCAATAAAGGAAATCATAAAAGCAAACTTCATTCCATTTTAAAATACTCTAGCCACTGGCACTTAACATTACTGACAGGATGGTTGGGTAAAATGAATGGCATTTGCTACTTCCCTTCAAAGAAGGGTGCATAATTTTATTATTATCCTCCAAGTTCCTATTCAAATGAACCATACTGTTCAGGTTACGTAATGTTGCATTAGATAACATATCTGTGTAGGAAGTTTCGGCCAAAGTAAAATAAAATTGCCTCGTTATTATCACATACCACATTAGTTCATACAACTTAATTTAAAATGGTTGTTATAATTTAGAGACTCTTGGACTCTAATTATTTCAGTGGGAAAATAGCAATACTCGTGAGAAATAACAACTTAGCTGGTAATCATTAACCATTAACTTTCTCACACAACTACCACGAACTGAGTTTTGTTATTTGTTAACTGTGTTACCAATTTCTGTGTGTCTTGATTTCGTTATCCATAAAATAGATATGGTGTGGTGCTAGAGAGAGGATTCAGCGGTTGAGTGTGTCATAAGAAGTTAAATGCTCTGGAAAAGGACCTAAGTTTGAATCCCAGCAGCCATGTTGGCTGGCTTCACAACCACCTGTAGCACAAGCTCTAGGGGATCTGAGGTCTCGGAGCTCCATGAGCACGGGCAATCACGTGTGTATGCCTTCCCTGACCAAAAAAGTGATAATATTAATTTAAAAATAAAAATATAATATACATACGTAAAAAATGAATCTTAAAAATTAATGTGACAACATCTATTTCATAAAGTTATTGTGAGAATTACCAAAAATAAAACATGAATTAGACAGAACAGAGTTCCTAGTCCTTGGTATTTAGCAAATATTAACTCGGTGCTGTCTCTCTGTAATTCCAACAGTGGGAGAATCAATCCCCTTTGTAGGACATCCCTTTGTCTTAGTAGTACTGGGGATGGAGCCTAGGGCCTCATACATGCTAGGCAAGTGCTCTGCTATTGAGCCACAACCCCAACCTGTGAATCAAATTTGATGATTTTTTTTTTAATTCCTGGCAACAGCACATAGAGACAGAGCATGTTCTTTTGGGTTCATTAATAACTCTAAGTTCCCCTTGTGCTGTCTCTTCATATAGCTCATGCCCCTGCATTTTTAAAGACAATCTTTAGATTTGCATTACTTATCTAATATTTGTTAACCTACCGACTTGCGGAAAGTTTATTAAGAACTGTATACATTTTATCTCCTTAAAGTTCTATGATATTGTATAGCAAGGTATTCTCTGAATCCTGTCCTTATTTGTAGACAGAAGTAGCTTACAAACATTTAAGAAAATGAGTAGATAGGTATAGATTACGCAAATTAGTTAAGTAGGGGCACATCATAAAGACAAAGGAAGGGGAGAGAAATGAACTTGGTAAGACTTGTTATGAGGAACCTTCGAAGAGATTCTATTTGTTTCAAGGCAAGAATAGAGAAAGTTTTTCAAGAACTGAAGAGTATTTTGAGTGAGAATAAAAAGCTTATTGTTAGTTCTTCCTTGACAAACGTGCTAGCCTATTCCTTTAAAATGCTTAGTATTAAAAATAAAAGGTGAACTTTTATATCTCAAAGTTGAAACCTGTTGTTTTTTCCCATTGGACTTTTCACCATTTTGCTACCTGTGGACAACTGAGTGCCCATGGGTGCAGAACTGGCGGCAATCCTGCTCCAGACGTGAACACAGCCCAATTCTCTGCCCAAGAAGAACTCAGAATGGAAAGATCAAATTACGTATTCATGCTTTAAGTATGACAAAAGCATGGAAGTGATACAAAGGAGGTTTGAAACTGGTAAGGATGTCTAAGAAGGCTTCACAAACGCTTGACTTTGGAACTGTTGTGATTGAGGAATAAAACACCAATGGGTCAAGAATAGAGAACTTTTTTTTTTACTAGAAGAAATAGAATGACTGATCTAGTTATTGCTTTTCTCCTTTATTAAATTCATCCATTATTATCCATAGCATGCCACTGATTCTGCTGGCATTCTCAAATAAAATCACTCTTTTTTTTTGTTTTACAGTAGAAATAATACAGACAAATTTACTTAAAAAAAGAAAAACAGGAACAAGTAGGCAGTGGTGCATGCAGTGTCTAGATCCATATATGGTATTTAACATCTTAAGAAAAGAAGATGTCAAAACAGGGTAATGAAATTTAAATAAAGATCTCTTGAAAATGATCCTAGAGAAGGAAAAAATACCCTCAGAAATCTATATAATTTCTAGGCATTTCATAGCAAAAGCCATATGACTTAATAAGTTTGTTGTGGGAAGAAGTATGGGTGCCTGTACATTCCAACACCCCTTATTAATAATCTCAGATGTTTTAATATATTGTCTGGGAGGATAACTACAGCTTCACATACATTGTAAACTTCATAAAGTATCTCTGATCTTCATTCCTTCCAATGTTTGAAGAGGTGGAGAACAGGGCCCAGATGTTGACAAAGATTTATTAAGTCTAGTTTGATGTTAATAAAATCATTTAAAATCTAATTATAATTATGAAAGTTATGGCTTCTACTTTGCATCACTAGGCTTAATTAGTAATAATAATGATGATGATCAAAATTAAAATAATCATAAAATGTATGCTGTTTACTTTAAATTCTTAATAGTGTGTTTCAGGCAAAATAGCTCATTTACTTCTCATAAAAAATTTGGAGGAACGTACCGTTACTGTCCTTTTTGGAAATAAAGTAGAGAGGTTTCAGACTAACAACCAACCATGTTCACTAACAAAGTAATAAAATGGAGACTTCAGTTGAGTCAATATGTTTAAGTCAATAATCACGGTCAGAGTTATTTTTATTTTTAGGAAATATGATGAACAAAACTCTGATTCTTGATCTAGCACAATAATTGGTTATTTTAAAATAATTCCTAAAATTTTGTGATAAACCAGGTTTAGTCAGTTATAGGAAATACATGGTAACATCAAACCTGTCTTACATAATCATTGATGAACTTCAGACTTGGAAAGCCCTCTGCACCGGATTCTTTTACGGGCTATAAAGAGTTTCTGACAATGATTATTGCCACAGTTTTATAGAGGTGAGAAAAGCTGTCCCACAAGATATCAG